ATATATATATATATATATATATATATATATATATTTTATATATATAAATATATATAAAATTAGAGATAGAGAGATATACATATATACATGCGTGTGTAATGTATCTGTATTTATTCACGCAATTTCGTCACTCCTAAAATTTCCAAGTATCTTAGTTTATGATTTTGTGAACGTTTTGTTAAAATGTGCCTCATGCATTTTGTTATTTAAGATTTATATTCAGAGTATTTATTGTGAAGTCTAAAGAGAGAGAATGAGATTAAGCTAAAATAAAATGTTATAGTGTAATTACGCTGTTGGCTATAACATGGTCGAAAATTCACTGCACGAATGTGTGCATGTAATACAGATAGTATTAAATGAGATAATGTTACTTTGAATATACTTGTGAAAGTGCAAATCGTTGTCGGATATGAAATAGCATGCTAACTTATTCGAGAAGATATTTTATTGTCGCACGTTAACGGGGGACTGATAGATTTGGCTACAACAGTCTGACTACTAAAAATAGAAAATTTGCACATGTCCAAGGTGTTTGCATCGAACACATATTTCGCGGTAGGAAAGATTACGTATACTTTATTATTGCTATTATCTAATATTATGTATATCCTAATTTTTTATGATATAATTTATTTACAAATTGTTTTAGTATATTGCAATCATACAAAAATTACTTGAATATAAAGTTATATTAATAATAGTAATAATAATAATATCAGAAGCAATAGAGAAGTAACACATTATCACATATGCAATCTGTGGAATGCATTGTGTGCAATAGCTCGACAATAAAAATCTTTCTTTTTCGGCAAAGCAGATGTTAGCTCGTCTAATTAAGTAACTCCGGTTAATATCGCTTTTCGTATTCCGCTATCGTTGCACGAGTTTCCTACGCAACTATTCAGATGTATGTCCAGATACATCTCGAGTAAAAAATATATCTATTTTATCGTGCTGGGATTAATACAAATATTTGTGCATTAGATTGTTACACATGAAATGCGTCGGTGTCTTTTGCTCACCGATGTTCGAGTAACTTGGGAAATGTTACATGCACTTAATCGAAATATCATCTATCACACTCTCGTTGAAACAACCGAGTATTTCGATTGTCTCGAATTTAGTGCTCGAGAAGCTTTCCTCAAGGATAGAAATATGTAGATTCGCAAAGATACGCATTATTAACACGTTAGCTGCCGATGTGTCGCATGTGTCGCCGGTGGCTACATCTGGCCTAAGTAATCCAGAGGCCAATGTACACCGGTGATACATTCAACCCCTATGTAAAGTATAAAATTACCTATTTAATGAAAATTATTTCGATTCGTATAGCTTGTGGAGAGGATACAATTTTTAAGTGTTGTACACAACTAGATTTCGTCTCTTCTGGATTTGAATCGAGCAACCAACGTGTCAAATTTAAAACTTTCCTTGACATTTTACATGCAATAATCTAACGTACAATCAAAAATACTATCCTTTACCGCTGTAGATAGCAACCGGAATATAGAGAAATGTTTATATATCTTTGGCAAATTGAATGTAGTGGGTTTACTTCTCTTTCTTTTGCGGAGCCTCCGGTTTTTGCCTGAATTTAGATGCGACTGTAATAACAACTATTACTCCAATACAAATGCTGCCTAGTTTGAGTACCCATGGATTATCCAGAAGAAAGTTTGCAATAACTTGCGTGAGATTATCACTAAAAAAGAAAAGGATAATGATGTATTGATGTGCGTGTATCAATGATACTTATATAAGTAAATTGGCGCGAGATATTATAGCGTCTCCTGATATGAGCATAAATATGTAAACTTACAAGGGACTCTGAGGCACGGGCACTTTTTCCGCTTTCACATTTTTGTACCATTCTTTGGCGAACGAGACAAGGGAATTGATGTCATGCCTGCCTGTCTCATAGCGGTACATCTTGCCATGTCTGAAGCTGTGTGAATACAAAGCGAGATGCGTTAATGCAAATATATCCTCGCACATCCTCGTTTAATTCAGGTTTATATCTCACGTATGCATTTGTAATGTTAATATAAGTATCGTATATATATACAAGACATAAAAAATCACGGCCGTGATTTGCGCTTAGTTTGCGCCTAGTTTGAGCGCATTATGCACACGTCGATGCAGATCTGTGTAAACTTACAATATAAATTGCGGAGTGTCATAAACGTTAAATCTTCTGGCTGTGGAAGCTCCAGTTGTGGATTTATTGATAAGTGCTACGTTCACTTTCTGCTTGAGCTTTGCGGCGACTGTTTCCCACCTCGCGATCATACGCAAGCATTGTACGCAGTCTGTGCTGTAACTGATATCGCGCATCATCAGTACTGCCGTTAGTTGTAAGAAGAGAATTAATGGGAGATCGCGATAATCGCAAATGAAAGTAAAACTTACAACATGACAAACCAATCGCCGGTTGTAGCGCCGCTGCTCGCTTGAGTTAAATGCTCAAATGTATCGTCGGTAAGTTCCTTCACCGCAGGTACTTTATTTTCCGTAAACATAGTTAATATATCGTCGTCGTTCAAACGTCCTAGGGAAGAGAACGCAATGTGAAAATCTATAGTACAACTGTAAATTTATATATGCACACACTCAAAAGTAAAAATATATTTAGCAATATATCACAATATATGGGATGGTAAAATATAATGTATTATCACTGAGTAATTAAATGATCAAAACACATTTGAGCGTGATTCTTATTGTCAAGTTTTTATACTGTACCATCGTATAACAAGGGTAGCCCATGTCTGAAGAAAAGCAGAATCGGTTCTTTATCGGTGCTGTACAGTTGTAACAACTGACTATCGACAGCCTTTACAATCCATGCCGCTAAGGATTCCACCAAGTCTTCGCGCAAGTGGATCAACTGATTCTCATAGTTTTCACATTCTGGACAATCTTTTCTTGCTGTAAACATAAGATTATAGTTACTAATAATAGCCAAAAATATTCAAGGTCTTCTATTGTTCTTATGATTACTAAGGGAATGCAAATTTATGTAACATACGGTTTGCAGTATCTATAATATATAAATTCCATTTAAAAACAAAATGTCCTGGAGAATGATAATTAAAATGTGCTTTATCAACTTAATTTATAAAGCAATAAATAAATGATACGGGCATATAATTATGTTTCTTTTTAACGATCTTTTCGGCTTTTGATAGCTAATAAAGTTTTAGCATTCTTGCAACCCTTATAGAAATATCATACTAAGAATCATTGATAATTACTTATTTTCAGTATTAAAAATACTGGATAATAAGTAATTGATTCTTAGTATGATATTTCTATAAAGCAACATCAGATAATAAAAAGAGAGCAAAACAAACTTACTAAATAGGACGACCACATATTTTTCAGTCTTTATGAGATTGAGGAGTTCTTCGTCGTGCACCGTTTCAAGACTTGCAGCGTGTGTGCCGGAAAAAATACATATTGAGATTAAAAGCACTATTTGTAACATTGTGAACTCCTACGAAATAGATGATACGCGAAATTTGTTCGCCGGCGAGCTGGCACACGTCAAATTCGGCTCGTGTATGACCATAAAATAAGCGAGAGAAGGATAGAGAAGAAACAGCACGTGTTAATTCTGTAACGTCATGCTGCAGAGAGCTGCTGTTTCTCTAATGAGGCAGGTCCAGTTTGAGATGCTCTGTACTACTGTTTATATCTCGCATTTGTTTGATGGCACAATGTGTGATAGATCGATATTAATGATACTTTTGGAAAGATAGTTTTACAATATATTTGTTAGAAATAATGTTAACACAATTAACTATTTATTGATTAACTGTTATGGTAGAATAAAACGTCTAACCCGCCGTTGAGTACTACTACTGATGAAGCGATAACGTGTCTTTCGCTACTGTTTGCTCGTATCACGACCTTAATTTCTTGTTTAGTGGCGGCTCGTAGCGGAGACGTTGGAACTATTTTGCAACGCCATACGCAGAAATAACGGGTCTAATGATTTCTTACCCCTTGTCCATAACTTTGCTTTAATCTTTAAGCCGTCATAAATTGACCATTATTATATCTATTCATTATTATACATATTATTTTAAAAATAATCAACTTGGTGGTTGGTCAATTTCTTACGGCTTAAGAATTAAAGCAAGGTTGTGGACAAGGGGTTAGACCCCTTATTCGCTTAATGTTTGGCTGACAACTCTCGTACCTGAGTTGGCAACACTAGCGACAAAGACGCGGTAAGGTAACGTAACTCTACAGATAGTCTTGTTCTCGTGTGGAATCCGACAAATTTTCATCGCTTTTATAACTTGTAATTAATAGCTCGTAATGTATACAATAATGTTAACCGGATTGTACGGCGATAAATATCTTGATTTTACATTTGATATTTTAATTGCGTTTATTCGGTGACCCTGCTTTTAATCGGTCAGTTACAAATGTTCGTGGTAAAGCTATGTCGATATGAATTACAGAGGAATTCTTGATATTTTATTTATAGATTCTATACAATATGTATTCATATTTTGATTGTTATATTTGATAGTACATCACTTTTGCGACTTATTTTATCAATTTATCTTAAACGGCAAAAAGAATGAGTTTGTTTTCTGTTGCTGAACTAGTGTATACTTTTGTAACTTGAAAAGAGATAGATATATAGATAAAATTTGGTGGAAGAAAGATGAAAAAGAATTAGTATAGCTAGTTCAACAATAGAAAACAAATCTTATATTTTAGTCGAACGAAAAACTCATTTTTCTAAAGAGTCCTACTTGAAGGTTATACGACAAAACCAGAATTTTCGACGATTAATCCCTTGTTCACAATATTCCTAGACAGCACAAGATCTCCTGAAGACGTCCTAAGGACGTCCTGAGGACGAAGAAATGTCCTCAGGATGTTCTCTGGATGTCCCCTGAACATCTGTGCAGTTAGGGTTGCTTTAATTCTTAAGCCGTAAGAAATTGACCAATCACAGTTGATTATTTTTTAAATAATCGACTGTGATTGGTCAATTTATTACAGCTTAAAGATTAAAGCAAGGTTGTGGACAAAAGGAATGTCGCCAGCCGTTTATGCTTCTTGGAAGCGCTAGGAACGCGTAATATCTCAGATAGCACAGAAAATTCAGAAAGAATTAAAAAAAAATTCAGTCGTATGTTACCAATTCTGAGTTAATTTTCAGATGCAAAATATCAAATATTTTAGTTACTCTTTTCATATCTTTTTCAGTCAAACACGAAGAAACTTACTTCATTTTTTAGATGAAAAATGGTTTTTAGATGCAAAAAAAATTCTTCAGAGTTCAGTTCAGTGAAAAGAATTCTTTATGCGTCTAAAGATGAACTCAGAATTGGTGACATACGACTGAATTCTTTTTGAATTCTTTGTGTTATCTGGGATGATATCTCTCAAGCCCCACGCGTGTACATCTTTTCTCCAAAAAAAGCGATAAGCTTTTCAAGAGAACACTGCTCGATACGATCTTTCATATCTTCCCTCCTATTTTACCGAAAGACTTCGAGTAAGACTCGATAGAAAACTGAGACTTTCGCGCACATAATTTAAGATCAATTAGCAAAATAAATGTGAACGTGATATATCTTCACGAAAAATATCTGTAATTTGTAACCGTCAAATTTTCATCGTTTGTCACAGTCGCACTGGATTTTCGTGTTTTATTTATGTATGGTATCAAGTGTGATTTTAGTTTTCTGTGGAATAATAGTGGTATTTTGCATTCGGTTTGATAAGTTATATATAAGTTTCATAAGTTTTATTGAGTTTGATAAGATAAGTTTTATATAAGTTTTATAAGTTTTATTGAGCTAGTATAACGTATTGTCGTGCGTAAATTTTGTAGCATGTTGAGCAAGATCAGAGCATGGTTGCACTACATAATTGCACTTTTGATGTATCATAGATTTCGAAAAGACTAACTTAAAAACAGATTACCTTATATTAATATAGCAATCCCCGACGATTATTTACTCTGACCGTAGAAAACTATTATTGAATTTAGATTTGCATATAGGGATGATGTACTTCTCTCCAGAAAGCACACAATATTTACAAAATATTTTAGAAATATAGATATTAAATAATTTATTAATTATATTAATATTATTAATTATAAATTTATTAATTATAAATATTCTAATGTCCGAGATTTTCAGGTATGAAAAAGATTATGATAAATATTTAAAAATATTTATGAAAAATATTTATCATAAATCTTTCATAAATTATAATCTTTTTCATAAAAATATTTATGAAAAATGTTTTTCATAAATATTTTTAAATATTTATTACAATTCTTTTTATACTTAAAAATCTCGGACATTTGAATATTTATAAAATATTTAATATCTATATTTATAAAATATTTTGTAAATATTATGTGCTGTCTGGAGAGAACGGACACCTTTTAGAACTTATTATTTGAGAATGCATTTGAGAATGTGACTCTACGTGAATACGATTTCCACCTCAATTTTATATTGATAATAGAATAGTCCCATGCCTTTAAATTTTCTTTTCGCACACCTGCAATTTCGCTTGTTTGTCATAACCAAAATTTCGGGAACGTATTACTCGAGAACGTATTATTCGACGGGAATACGGTTTCCACTACGATGACTTATTTTGTCTATCGACAATTCTCGTTAATTCTAACAGAGTTCTAGATCCTACGATTAAATTTAAGAAGAATTCCGGCGGCTACCTATTTTTAAATAATTTTTTTAATCTTCGAAGTTAGCATGACACTCACAGAGAAAGTGTTGTGTTGACCATTTTTCGCAGTTCTATCGACAATTCTCGTTAGTTTCAACAGAGTTTTTGTTGAAATTTATTGTTATTGTTAAAGTTTTTTTTCTTAATTAAACATTTTGATAGAATTTGATCAGAACTGACGGAAACTCTTTCTAAAAGTAGTGGTATTTATTTATTTCTTGTATATTTTAGAGTGGAAGTGTCGTACTAGGTTCGCGAAATTAGCACGATAATTTTTCATTTGCTGTTTTTCGGTACTAAAAATACGGAACTCCTTTTGTTTTCTGTTTAGAACTCTAGAACTGTGAAAAGTGCTAATAGAACTGTCATTGGTTTTTAAAATTTGTAAAACGTCGTGCCAACTTCACAGATGCGAGAATGTGTGATGACATGATTGTAGTTTTCAATTTAATTATTTATTATAACAGTAGAAGAAAATTTTATTGTCAGAATTTTGTTTTCGTGTATTTGGAATTTTGCGTATCTGACTTGCACCAAACTTTCAGCGCATATTGTTCGAGAACGCGTGACCCGATATGAGTACGGTATCCTCTTATTTGGATTACTTATTTGGATAATGGAAGTACCTCATACGTTTGAAATATTTTTCTCGCGCAGCTCGTATTTTACTTGTCACAGTCGCACTGGATTTTCGTGTTTTATCTATGTATCATATCATGATAGCGTGATTTTAATTTCTTGTGGAATGATAGTGGTATTTTGCATTCGGTTTAATAAGTTTTATATAAGTTTGATAAATTTCATTGAGCTGGTATAACGTATTGTCGTGCATTCTATATATGCTTGCAGCCCATAACAAAAGTTTTTGCTGATCAAGAAAATATGCCCGTAGTATTCGATGAGTTGATAACTGATAACTGTGAATACCGGTTACGTAAAATCTAGTGTTAATCCTGCAATTGCTGATTAGTGTTTAGTACTGTTTTTTATTTCGCAAGGAATCGCAGTTTGATCGAATTCAAATTGAAATCTCTATGATGTGTTGCATTCTATCTTTTTCTTATTTTATATATATATATATATATATATATATATATATATATATATATATATATATTCGCAGCTTCAAAAAATAATAATAAATTATAAGAAAAGGAAGTGCCATTATTTACTTATATATATACGAGTTTCATATAATTAATATATTACTTGTCGAAATATCAATAGTTGTTATATTGAGCTAGTCGAACATTAAATAACCCTTTAAAATATTCTTCTTCAAATCTTAGCTTAGAAAGAATTGCAATAAGTAGAAAAATTAAAAGCGTAATATCAGCGTAATTAAATTCGTAATATCAAAATAGGTCAACTATCTATAATATTACATTTCGAGATTCTCCACTGACCCTGTAAGTTCGGCGGAATTTGCAGGGTTAATGTAGAACTGAAATTTCTCGACTCGGGTTGTCGAGTAGTAGTTTAGCGATCCACCCCGCTACTAACTAAAACAGTTCCTACGCTCCTGACGACGGGGTGGTGACTGAGGGTGGTTGGAAGTCGAAGGTTGAAGGGTATAGCGATAGATAACAACGGTGGGCACACAGTCATGCATGTACGTGGCTGTTCGAGAAAATTGTGCGCTGGTATGTCGGCGAACGCCGGGACGTCGGCGACTACCGCAACCCCCGGCGTGGCCCTGACGAAGGCACGAGGGTTTCCAGTCGCGTGTTCTCGTCGTCACGGCGCGGCCAGCCAGCCGCGCACCGTAAGAATGTAATCGGCTCGCCGAGTACTCCTCGTTCGCACGTTTGTCGTCGTTCTCGCCGTGATGGCATGCGAAATACCGTAACGTCGCCGTGAGTATATTTCGCAACTCCATTCTTGCACCCGCACGAGTCGAGAACACCACATACACCGCGGCGCCGGCTTTAGCCGACGTAAGCAGTCGCCGTCGCTGTCGGAATCGTCGAAGCGGATCCCGTGTTCCGCGAGAATATTCCATCTCGGCCGCGTTACACGTGCGATCGTGCCCGTTCACCTGGTCCCGTTATTGACCGTAAGACGAGAGATATTGATCGATATTTTCTTCGAGCGACACGCACCGAGCTATCGAATTGCTCTCGGCAACCAATATCTCGTAATCGATAGTTCATGCGATTCCGTCGTCTCCTGTCGTCCCGTCGCTGGTTAGCTCGCTTGCTCGCGAGTCTTGACGTGGAATTTATATTTGATCGTTATTGCGCGACTATTTCGGCGACGAATTCTGTGCTGAATCTCAGTCGAACGATCGAATATTGTTATTCGAAGCTCAGCGGTCTTAAATCAAGCTCGAACGATGTGAAGTCCGCTCGAAAGGGCGAAAACAGCGTCTTTCTTCGTCGGAGGAAGACAGAGAAGGAGAGAGAGAGGGAGAGAAAGAGAGAGAGAGAGAGAGAGAGAGAGAGAGAGTAAGAGAGTGAAAGAGAGGGCAGAGAGCTATATTCCATTCGATTTTAGCAACCTCGTCGTTCCTTCACGTCGCGCACTTACCCCGCGATTTTACCCCGCGCGCGCGCGAGCAACAAGCGAATAGTAATCGAGGGACTCGAATAAAATCTCGTCGACCATGCCGTCAATCGTCGCGATCCCGCCGAACTGGATTCACGCATTACGCCCGTGGGATGAGTTATTACGAGAAAATCGTCCCTTTTTTCCTCCCTTTTTTCCAACTACCATCGAAAAGGTCACCGTGTCGGCGTTTTGCGCGATAACGGGTGTAACGGCCGTAACGGGCTTTTCACTTACGCGACGCCGATGAATACCGCGCGATAAGCCGCGAAGCTACGGCGGCGTGGTGGTTTGCACGATACACAGCTCGGGATAATATTAACGGTGAACACAACGCCGGAGGTGTCGTATTGTGTTTAGTGTAATAGCGCTGTTTGTAGCGAGGACAACCAGATTTGTTTTTCTTCTTTTTCGAACGTGTAATCTTCTCTTTTGTTTCGTTTTTTTTTCGTTATTTTCGCTTCACACGGTAATCTTGCATGCGACCGACGACGACACTCGGCGGTTTGCATCTGGGACTCGGCTTTATGGTCAATTGCACCGTTGAGTGCATTCGCGGTTTATTTATGGACAAGTGAGAGGAGCGTGTTGTAGTAGCGCGTCGCGCTCTCGTTCGTAAACCCTCACCGCCCTCGTCGCGATCTGAATATGCGGATCAGAAAATAAAGGGTGACTATTCCGCTCCGTACGAGCGAATCGTATACCTGTTCCGCGTTGATTTCGCGTGTGTACTCGTCGTCGTCGTACATTATTCGGTTTTATCTCGAAACAACACGTTTCATAAATGCGGAACGCGTATCACGCGGCTTTAGCCGCGTCATTTTTGGTATTACATCTATTCAGACTACTAGAAGAAGGCAGTCAGTTACTAATGTTCCGTGTTCATTAGCTCCGTGTTTATTACTTAGTGCTACACAACTCACAGTTGGCTTAATAGAGCATAAACGCTACTACCAATAGATCGCTGCGGAGCGCTCGGTATTTTGGAAAGCGTGTTTTGTCGCGCGAAGTCATTTGTTGTTTATCAGTCGAGGGATATTGCGGTGGTGCGGACTAAGTACCCGCTCCAGTATCGATGTCATTCGATATTCCGAGGACAGAGCCCGTTCACCGTAAGAAATACAATGTAAATCGTTTCGCTGGCAATGCAAATGCAAATATGATACACGACAAAGCAATGGGATATACAGTAGAAGTCACACATAACAGTGTTGTTTGGCGCGGTTGGCAAATGTAATCCGTTAAACGTGATCTGCATATAAATCATATTTATAACGGTGATATACACACTACAAAACAATGGAATATACAGGAAAAGTCACATAACAGTTGTTTTCGTGTGACTGATAAAAGCGACCCGTTAAAACGTGATCTGAATATAAATTATATTTATGACGGCTTCTCTCTTTCTCTTTTTATTTCGACATAAACTCGTTCTTTCTCTAATCGCATATTCTATATCACGCCGCGTTTTATCTTCATTTTCTGCCTTTAAAATGAAATAGAAAACCACGGAATATAAATCGTGCGGATGCGACACATACAAACATATATACACACATACATATACAAATCGACGCAATGATATAATTTTTTGCACGGTGAAGCGCGCGCGAAAGAGAGAGAGAGAGAGAGACGGGAGGGGGGGAGAGGGAGAAATGAAGCGCTAGGAGCACTTGGACTTCTAAACGCGACGCTCGTGATTCTCGTGAGCGTCGACAGTCTAATTCGCGATTGCATTTTTACGCGGGTGTGTAACTGCGCCTGAAACGCGATACGTGAAATTAAAGCGTAGCTTAAGCGTTGAACGAGAACCGGCCGACAAAGCTCTGGAGCTTTATGGAGGTGGAATGGCTGTTCGGTAGGGGGCAAGAGGGTGGAAGAGGTGAGGGTGAGGATGGGCGCGACTCGTTTTTATATCGGGAAACGATATATAAAACCGGATGTCTCGATTACAGCGCGCGCGCGCGCGCGCATGGTGTGTTCTAGCATTGGCACTCCCATTACACCGTCGACTACATACGGTAAACCAGTATAACCGGCGGCGTGTGTCTCTCGAGGGAAGAGTAATATCCTGTTAAATCGATAACGAATGATGACAGAAGCACGTGGCTGGCGGCATGCCGCCACTTACCGTCTTGCCGTCCCGTGCCGAGCCGCACTCGCCCCCGGCACTCGATATTCGCGTGCACTCTCGATATATCTGAATGCTCCCAAATGTGCATCATGTCCGACGATTTGGCCGTCGCTTCGCGTCTGCCCTGGATTATCCTTCTTGTTGTTATTATTATTATCATCATCATCATCGTGATCGTGTCCGCGTTGATCTCGCGACTCTTGGTTCACTTCTGCCTGTTTCTCTTCTCCATCCCCTCTGTGGAGATCTATGATGATATTCTGGTTCATCTTGGGGGCATGGACTATTAGGTTTTTTTTTTCTGACATTCCGTACTCACTAATTATTCCATACTTAGCTCTTTCCGCTTTTTTTGACTGAGAGTTTTTTTAGAACATTACATAATTAACTCACACTGCTCTCTGCGAACACCTCATTTTAAGTTTAATTGTTAGCGGCTTCTATTATTGTATGTTTTTTTAGCACTTGAGCGCTAATAAACGATGCTTTTCTCTCTCTCTTTCTCTTTCCCTCTCTCTTTTTCCACGTTATTAGGGGCTGCATAAGGCCGTCGGCGCGCAAATGGCCCAAGGAATCCCTGAGACGGCGTATGAGCCGGGTACCGAGGAGGACGCAAGGAGAAAACGCGAGCGCCGGGTCGTTCAGGAGGGCACGGCGTTGTGGAGACGTCGGAAGGAGGAGCTGCAACGTCAGAAGCATCGTGAGCAACGTGAAGTATGTGTAACACAAATAGGCGTTCCGGCTGTCCGCGTTGCTGCCGTTTATGCCACTTGCCCTTCGTCGCCGGCCGCGAGCCGCCCTTAACGTCATTGTCCTCGTTGCCATTGTTACTGATCGGATAAAGCTCGACTGAGAGAGAGATACGGGTCCCGGGATACGACGTCCGGTGAACCGAGACTATCGAGTTCATCGAAGCAGGGACGCCCAGATTTTCGGGCTAATCTGCGGAGTACGAGTTTCTCGAACACTTCGTGCTCGCTCGCTTTGAGCACACGAGGATCCTTTTTGCTCTCTTGTACATGCATTCGCGTCTAATATTATGTTGAACTACGAAAATAGTCGAGTGATTTACACGAAATACCGGATAAAAAATGCTGGATGTGAGTTCATTGATTTTTCTTCGACAGAATCGGAGTCGCATGTCGCGTACATATCGTGAGAAGAGAACAAATGTTTAGTTGACTAAATGTATGTAGTGATAAAAAAATTGTCAGAAATAGACTCGACACGGAGAACATTTGCAGTGACATTTAAATCTGTCGACGCAGATATAAACGCAAACGTGTTAGTCAATAATGAGTCTAAAATAGCGCTCGTGATTTTAAAATATCGTTCTTGTTGGTGAAAGATATTCGGGGGCGCGCAACGAGGTCAGACGCGAAGACGAATGACAATTTTACATGATATTTACTGGGTTTTATTATAGATGTGTTTGAAAGGTAACGCGCCGTCAATTTAAGTTACCAGCTTCATAAGTGCGACCGTATTTTTGCGTCTCGCGCGCCACGCACGTCGTCGAATTTGCAGCGGGGAATTACGTGCGCGCGAACGGTAATAAAGCCGCGAGTATCGCATTATAAAGTGAATTTGCATAATTTCCGCCTAACTATCCTGCAAGAAACAGGCCGCGAAAGATAACCCAATAATCTATCACGGTATCGTTGTGCTTTATACGTATGAACTGTGCATCTCGTTACGTATCTGCTGTAATGAACATTGCGCGCGCGGTTCGTTTGAACGCGCGTCGAGCTCGTATCAGTGATGATCATTTCCGGAAGTGATTACGAAGTTGAATCACGATTTTCGGAGTAAAAAAGGAATCGTTGTCCCCTTTGAACGATGAGAAACGCAAACTTGCGCGAACTCTTGGAAACTTTCACTTTTGGAAAGTGTACTTCGCCATGAGCTGTATGAAATTTCGAAATTATTTATTAGGATATCATAACCACACGAATTATATGGCCGTGCGCTACGTGTGTTCTCTAATAGAAATTATTTCCATTAGCTTTCCGTTACTTTCGTCCGGTTAATCGTAATTTTAATTTTAATTTAATCTTAATTCTTTCAAGGCAACACACGACGAAAAACGATCATGCCCTTCTCTTTTCGTCGAATTTCCCGCGTCGTTTTCGCACCCTGTGTTGTTTGCACAATACACATTCATCTGTTTATTTTTCTGCTTTATATCGGTGCGACATGACGATGATGCTCGATCATCAGTGTAGCTTGGCGCTACATATTTGCGGCGCATATGCTCGTTACATTCATTTCCACTCTCTGCGAAAATAACAATCTGCACGGAATATATTATAAAAACACACACGGGACGCACGGGAGGGACGCGCACTCTCCGTCCCACTCTCCTCTCCCTCTTTCTCTTGCAGTCGTGCGTAATATACGTCACGTATACTTCACTCGCCGCCCCAATCACTCAAAATGCACGCCGAAATTATGAAAATTCAAGCGCGTAATTACTGTCTCGCTGATTATTTCGTATCGCTAATTCGCGCGTCGGCCGTATTAAATTGTATTTACTGTATTGTATTTACCGTGGGGCTCGGGATTTACCGTTGTAACTGGTATGCTAATCAAGGCGGACGATAATATGTATTCGCGGTGCACTTTTCTCTCGTCGCTTTTGTCTCGTGCGTACAAAACTCTCATCGTCCGCGGCAGATCTGAATCGAACGGCGATGAGAGAGAAAAAGAGAGAGAAAAAGAGAGAAAGAGGGGCGGAGGGGGAGAGAGAGAAAAAGAGAGTGAAGGGAAGGAAGGGGAAGAGAGAGAAAGATCGCCGGCGATCGATTATTGATCTATGATCAAGATGCATCGGTTCGGCAGCGTGCCGTTTGCGCAAACTGTGACTGCGCCGTACTTTACATTCCTCTTCGTTTTTTCTCACAGCTGCAAGAAATTCTGGCCAGTTACTCGCCGTGGGGAAAGCCAGGTGGCGGCGCGCCCTGTGCAGCCACTCTGAGGAAGAAAAACGTACCTCTGGAGCCGCTCGAGCCTCCCGCATCATCGAGACCGAGGTGTTACAGTTTCGGTCAGGTAAAACTGTTCGGCTGAGAGAGGGATTGTTACCGCAGTCGTCATTTTTTTTTCATCTGCGCCATCGGCGGCGCGTTGCACCTTGTCTCGTCTCGTCTCGCCTCGCCTCGCATTGCTTTACCTTGCTTCCCGTTTACAGCGAAACTTCGCCGCGATCTGACAATCGCGCGGGATCCACGAGATACAGGTCGGCGGCGTGCGAAAACTTTCGTTCACGCACGTCGAGCTGACACGCTGCAAAACCTATTCCCACGACGTTTACACGCGGTAGGATTTGTTGCCGCGTCCTCTTAGATACATCTCTTCGTGTATCCGTGCGCTTTTGAGCAGACAATTTTCCGAAGACAAACGGCAGTTAAATGCCTCACGGCGAGAACTCGTGGTTTAAGTCGCGTTTTGTGTCGCGGCGAGCGAATAGATTCGTTTCTCCATTCGCGGCTGGCTTCTTTTAGTGCTTGTAGTGAATTATGATCGCTATCGCGCGCGCAAGAGGAAGAGTGCGATATAATTGTGAAAAATTGCATCGTTACGCCCGCTGCGGCGGAATTCTCCCAGATAGCTCTTCGTATATCCAAAGGATCGTAGAGAACGCGGACCTGTCGTGTCCCGTGGTAGAATTACATCGCGGAAATATCATATCGCGCGCCACTTGCCCCGCGAAGATTGCACATCTGCAATTGCCGGCGTATATACGCTCACGCCTCGATCGCGAGTGGCACGCGTGAGACTCGCGAAACGAGTTATTAAATTCGTGCGCGGTGCGCGTGTATAAATACGCGAGAGGAGGGTGCATGCACGAGATCGCAGGAGTCGGGAAGCAGCGTCACGCGACGGTGTGTACCGTGCAAAGGCTTTAGGCAACGTTAACACAGTTCTTTGCGATACGACATTGCGCTGGTACACGCATTAAAGTGTCCGCTGTCTGACATTAACCTTACATGAGTAGCCGCGAAGCAGCGACACAAATCTCCTTCCTTTCTCTCCTTTTTCTCCTCTTCCTCTCTTTCTCTTTCTCTCTCTCTCTCTCTCTTTCCTTACATTTGTTAAATATGATTACTGCATTTCCTCGTTTTATTCGAAAATAGTTCTTAACAATGCAAATTTGTTCTCACCTGTATCATGTATTTTAATGATTTGCATCGCGCGATTAATTTTCATCTTTGTGAATTAATTATTTGATAATCTTTGCTCTCTCTCTCTCTCTCTCTCTCTCTCTCTCTCTCTCTCTTTAATTTCTTCTATTGCTTTATTTGGTTAATTAAAAGGTTCGAGGCTTGATTTCCAATACCTTTTCCAACTTCTCGGATCGGCCATCTTTTATGATAAATACAATTGATATACATTACAATTGGTATACAATTGAAAGATTGTGCTATTGAAAGATTGTGAAGTAATGACGACGATGACCTGTTTAATGAATAATCGCGCAATTCTCTAAGAGCATGGTAAGATGTTCCGTGGCAAATAAGAGATAGAGAATGAGATATCAGCAGTTCACTAGTTCTATCAATTGTGCATTGGTAAAACAACTGGATCGAAATTTGTAACTTCATCTTCGATCTGAATTTTCTAACATATGTATATTCTGAAAGATTAGAGTATGTTTAATACACGTGGAAACTGAAGTATTTAGAATTTCTAAATTACAGAAAATGCATAAAATGTCGCTTGTAAGTTCTAAAGAGTTCTAAGACCTCTTGGCGAAGCTAGTAAATAAAAAAATAAAAAAAATAAAAAAAGACTGTTATAGACTTCAGAGTGTCAAAGTAGGTGTTCAATGGAATATTGAGGTCAAAAGTATACTGAGAGAAAACATTTCTAAGAAATAGTAAATATTTATTTGATGAGTACTATAACAACATATTTATTTATACTAATAAATACAAAATATTTCTTAAATAACAAAATACACATTTTCTTAAAACTTAAAAAAATCTTCTTTCTCATGAAAATATTTCTTTATTTTACTTAAATAAAAGAATTTATATCCAAGCAATTATGTTGTTAGTATCTATCAAATAAATATTTATTAGTTTTTATTTATTAGTTTTTAAATATTTTTTTGTCAGTGTAGTATCACAATTTTGACTCAAAACTCGTCTCAAAACTTGATGTCTCTTTCGCAAGAGCGCTAAGAACTTTGCTTTCCCGACGTCGCCAGTTAGATTTGCATTCTCATGCACTTATAATCGTTATAATCGCACAGAGTGCCATCGGCACATGACTTTGTCGCTGCGAGAGGTGACGTCTCGCTGGAAAAAGCTTGTGTAAAGGCAAATTATGACACGTTGTTATCTCCGGTTGTCAACGGTACTATTCGCACGATAATGTAACGGAAACGCGCGGCGGAAGTTGCCTCCCTTATTACCGCACTGAATATTGCAAAAGCAGCGCGTGTATAGCAATCCCGGTTCATACGGCAGAGAAACAGAACGAAGGAGTGAAGAACATGCCCGATGTTGACTCGATACGGTCACAATAGCGTCACTCCCGCGAACCCAATCAACGTTAAGGGTCAGTTGCATCGACACGGCTTAGCCCGATAAGATGGTAGTTGGTGAGCTTCTCGACCTAGATCCGATAGATTCTCTTTTCCCGCCCGTGCGTTTGCAGACATGAGCTACGATTTAGAAGGGAAACCGTGAAATCGCAGCTTCTCCGAGGCCATAAATGTTATCGTGCGCGAGCACTTTAGTTAGAAACCAAAGTTGCTAAAGCAAACTTATAATATATTCCATTTTGATTATTTAAAAAGCGCCCTTACAAACCGAGCACGAGTTTCTGCGTATCTGGAAATCACGTAAGTCAAGAAAGGTTAATTCGAGATGATGGTGCATCTCATCTCAAGCGATTATTGCCGAAGGCTCTTCAAAATTACGCCTTCAAAAGTCTTCAAAAGGTTCGTCAAAAATTACGAAGAGCTTTATTAATAAGCGAAAAAGGATCGTTTGAATTAGGAGTGCGATTGCAAGATCTTAGTGGCATAATCTCTGTTATACTTTTAACGGATTGATGCAAATTTTTTACGCAGGAAGAGGTCGATAAATATAATCATAAAATAAATGTGTCAATAAGAGACAAACGTTGATTAAAAGTCGCGGAAATTAATTTTTAATAAGTCCCCCAAAATTAATTAAGAATTAATTTTCAGAATTTTTAATATGCGTTTATCGGCCCATTTACTTTATCACTGTGTATCAAGGAGCCTTAATTAATCGTTGAATTTTATTCAGAATAAATACGTTCAAACTGTGATCGACATTGACGAAAAGTTTAGCGGCGCTTTAAGCCGCTGATTAACAAATGTGGCTTTTACCCGCGGATATCTTACAACTTCGGTGTCGTGCGTGCGTGTTGATTAGAAAAGTGACGATATTGCTGGCAGCTTGTCGTCGACATTAATATCTCATCTGACCTCGTGCATGAAACCTCCCCGATACCGCAGACACGAAGTTTGTGTTGCAGTGTCATCGCGTGAAGCGACACGCGATGATGCGTGAAGCTTGGTAAATTTCGTTCTATTCGGAGATCCACAAGCCTCGTGTATGTGTGGTGTGTGTGAAATAGGTCAATATGAGGACAGACGTTCTAATTCTAAAATAGCCTAAAATAATCAATCGATTATCATCTTTTTTAAATATATAAGAGCTCTTCGTACGAGTCAATATATTTGAAACCGTGGAACACAATTGATCCCACAAATTCGGGGATAACTGAATGCAGAAAATGTAACATCGATAATTTATTTTTACGTGTATTAAAACATCTTATATAATGTTTCTATATAACTTATAACATCTTTTATAATGTTTCTTCACTATAAAATTGGTCAAGCATATCAAGTATGACAATCATGCTATGTCAATTGTATTATTTTTTTTTTTATTCACATAAAGAATATTCTGTATTTCTTGTTATATTTATGTTATGACAAAATAGTTATGACAATATCTTTTTGGCACTTTACGAAGTAAAATCGAGAAACAATATGACTTTTTATTTCAAACTCTTTTTCCGTTTTTCATCAAGTCTACGTTTGTGTTTTCTCTAATAATCGTTCTAATTTCTCTTATACGTATAAATAGTGAAGAGAAAATCGTACATATATCTCATTCTCGTTATTGTCTATTAGCTGTTGGAAAAAGATGCTTATAGTCGCAGGATATTAGGATGAATAAAAAATTGAAGGAAAGTGGTCCTTTCTCGCCGCGATTTTTACACCGGAAGTCGCGCGTTGCATCGCGTCGCTATATCCAAATGAGTTGAGCTTTATTGTCGGACGCGATATCGACACGTCATGCCAACAAATACGAGAAATCTCGTAATGGACTTTCCTTGTATGTCGGACACGAGGCATTTTTCTCGTGGCAATAATTTCGAAAGAAAGAGAGAGAGAGAGAGAGAGAGGGGAGAGAGAGAGAGAGAGAGAGGGGGAGACTCAGAGGAAACCGCTATATAAGCTCTCAGGTACATGTGTCTGCAGAAGGATGGAGGGCGTTATCAACGCGCACCACATTGGTCCAAAGGCCGAAATACGATTTCGTACTTTGTTCCCGCGCGGGCAACGATAATTGCGCAGAATTGCGCCGCTTAGATTACACCGGAGAGTGCCTTCTTTGATGGCGGGACCGCTCGAATGCCCTTCGGCAAAGGCGGGTAGATTCGAAGGCGATGGGCGCAAGTAATTGGTGCAGCGGGG